ATATGTACTACTGTTTCATGAGAAACTATTTGTTCTGTAAGCCTTTACCTGAAGTACAATAAAAAAAAAAAATTTAAAGGAAAAAAAGAAATCAAATGAAGTATTGCACTGAGCAAATCTGCTGCAAAAGACCTTTTAAAGTGTTAAAAAGCAAAGTTTTCACTTTGAGGACTAAGGCGTGCCTGACCCCAGCCATGGTACTTTCAATCGTCTCATGTACTTGCAAAAGCTGGATATTGAATAAGAAATGCTTGCTAAAGTAGAAGGTCAGTGAAAAAGAGGAAGACCCCCAACAAGATGGATTGACACAGTGGCTACGATGATAGTCTCAAGCATAACAGTGATAGTGAGGATGGCACAGTGTTTCATTCTGTTGTACATAAGGTCGTTATGCGTAGGAACCTACTTGATGGCACCTAACAACAACATAATATAAAATGCCAGAAATTATATTAATACCAATAAAGTATTCAAAAATAGAAAACTAATCATCACTTGAAAATTAAGAGAATCCAACTAATCTTAAAAAGTTAAAAATTATTTAATATTATTTGATGTATTTTAAGTAGAATCTAAAATAACACTGTAACAGTGGTATCATTGTTAAAATACGCTTATTTTTATGTAATTTCCCCAGCTCTTTTATCCTGTACATAATGGCGTCACTAAAGGGGTGTGCGGTATGTGGGCCACACCAGGTGACACTGTCAGAGGGAGTGACATCAAAATGACAAGTCTGTAAAATTTTTGTGCAATGTTTCAGCAGAAATTTACTATTATTTATAGAAATATCCCTGTAGTTAGTTATAAAACATTTTTTGTAAGGCTGGCTTACATGTATCAATATACCTACAAGGCTAAAATTCTATGCTAATTTACTTTTTGAACCTTCCAATGCACTCTAGTCAGAGCTATCATTATTATCCAATTACAATGACGATTCGAATCAGGTGATTTCGTCTGCACACGATGCAAGCATGTGCTGTTGTTTTTGTTGCTGCTGGTGTTTTTATAGTCACTGATTTTGTCAAATTTTCTGGTGTTTTAAATGCAATATTGTGGTAATTAGTATTTGTGAATCTATATCAATAACTTTTTTGAGAATGAAGTATTAATTAAAGGAAAAGAGGGAGTGATATATGGGAATTACGATTTATGAGTAACACTAGAACAAAAAACATTACTAAGGATTCTGTATGGTCTGGTATAGGAGAAGGTCCATGGGGAGGTAACATTATGAGTTACCATCACACCACCGTAGTGACACCACTGCCTCTATACTACATAATCCATTGCCAAAAGTCTATTCCGACTCATGGCAACCCTATAGGACAGAATAGAACTGCCCCATAGGATTTCCAAGGCTGTAAATCTTTATGGAAGAAGACTACTGCAACTTTCTCCCGTGAAGCAGCTGATGGGTTTGAACTACCAATCTTTCAGCTAGCAGCTGAGCACTTTCACCACTGTAGCACCAGGGCTCCCCCTACACATAGGGAGATAGCAGAGAGCGTTAAAAGCTGGCCACAAATATTTTCCTCTGACTCCTTCATTTTCATCTTGTCTGGTCTTCATTTAAAAACTTGTCCGTCTTTTTTAAATTTATGTATGTGTGTATTTTGAAGGAACTGCAATCATTTTATTACTGGTTCCATTTTTGTTTCAGAGAAAGAATTTCCAGACTTTCTTTTGTGTTTAACTTCATTATATATAGATGGCAATTACCAGGCAGAATAACCTCAATCAGATATTTTAAAACAGTATTATTGAGATATAATTTACATACTGTATGCGGTGCAATGGATCACTTTCGTGTGGCCTTTCTAGCTGTGGCCTTGTAACTCCCATCCAAGAGATTGGGTGGGACTATGCAAATAAGGCAATTGTGGCTAACCAAGGGGATTGGTCAGTTTTGCCTTAAAAGAGAGCTAATTCCAGAGCACAGAGAAGATCCCACCACCACCAAGGAAGAAGAGCCACCATGTCCTTTGGATGTGAGATCCCTGAGCTGAGAAGCTCTTGGAGCCAGGAAGCTGAGAAAGAGAGTGAGCTGTAACCCTGAAGATGGAGAGAAGCAGTGGCAAGAAAGACCTGCAAGAGACCGTGCAGTGGGCTACCAGACCCACGGAGCAAGAAAACTGAGTGCCTGGGGTGCCTCTGGGGACTTATTGGCAGCGGCTAAAAGAGCTTTGTAACTCTTGCCTGAACTGGGCATAGTCCTAGGGCCAGAGAGAGGTGTGCCTGCGAGCACAGCTGAAAAGAGGCTGTCCTGATGGAAAAACAAATTTGCCTATTCTGGACCTTTCATGTAAATTGAATCATACACTATATGGACTTTATGTCTGTTTTCTTTCACTCAGCATGATGTTTTTGAAGTTCACCCATGTTGTAGCACGTATCAGTGCTCCATTCCCTTTTATTGCCAAATCATATTCTATTGTATGGTCTTACACATTTTATCCAACAGTTGAACATTTGGGTTGTTTCCATCTTTTGGCTTTTATGAATAATGCTGTTATGAACATTCATGTATAAGTCTTGTGTAGACATATGTTTTCATTTCTTTTGGATAGATATCTATCCAAAGCGGAGTTGGCTGGGTCATAGGATTGAACACTTTGAGATATTGTCAGACTATTTTCCAAACTGGCTACACAATTTACTTTCCCACCAGGGATGTATAAGTGTTCCAGTTTCTCCAGGTCCCCACCAACACTTATTATTTTCTGATTTTTTTTAATTATAGTCATCCTAATCAAACCAGTTGCCACTGAGTCATTTCCACCTCACAGAGACCCCATGTGTGTCAGAGTAGAACTGTGTTCCATAGGGTTTTCAATGGCTGATTTTTTGGAAGTATATTTCCAGGCCTTTCTTCTGAGATGCCTCTAGGTGGGACTCAAACTACCAAACTTTCAGTTAACAGCTGAGCGAGTTAACCATTTGCACCAGGCAGGGACTCCATGACCATCCTAGTGAGTATGCAGTGGTTTCTCTTTGTGGTTTTGATTTGCATTTCTCTGTTGATTAGTGATGTTAGGTATCTTCATGTGCTTAATGGCATTTTGTATAACTTCTGTGGAAAAATGTCTATTCAAATCCTTTACCCAGTTTAAAATTGGATTATTTGTCTTCTTATTATTGAGCTGTATGTGTTCTTTATGTATTCTGGATACTAGACCATTATCAGTCTTTGATTTGCAAACACCTGTATCACATTACATCTATATGTATGTGCACATTCCAATTTGTAAAATCTTTTTTAAGAACAGCTGTATATATTTATTAATGTTTTCTTTTATGGCCACACATAGAAGGGAGTAAATCAAGCAGTAATTATCATAATTACATATATTTACTGAGCCCTTGGTATAGGTTGAAACTGTTGTTTTTGTTGCTGTTGCTGTGTGTCATCAGGTTGACTCCAACTAATAGCAACCCTAAAGGAGAGAGTAGAACTGCCCCATAGGGTTTTCTAGGCTGTAATCTTTACAGGAGCAGATCACCAGGTCTTTCTCCTGCAGAAGGGCTGAGTGGGTTCAAACTGCCCATCTTTCAGTTAGCAGCCCAGTGCTTAACCATTGTGCCACCAGGGCTCCTTAGGTTGAAGCTACAGCATATTAAAAACAGATAATTCACAAAGCAGAGAAAAATATATCAATACAAGCCAAAGTCATCAGTAGATGGCATAGATTTAAGAAAATTTGGTGTAGAACTGAAAATGAACTGAAAGAAATAAGATGTTATTTATCTTGGTAGTTCACTATTTTCAATTTGTAAAATCTTTGGACCAGAGTTACAAACGTCATTGCAACAGAAATCTTGCATTACCTATTAGCATTTTCTTACTGTTCTTGAGATTATGCAATGTTAGTAAAATGCTTTCTACAGAAGTACAACCTTTGGAGATAATTTGATTTTCAGATTTTAAAAATAATCAACATTACACCAGTCACATTGCTCTTAGTTTAATACTTAAAATCAGTGTGGTTTACCACCATACAGGAAAACCTAATCCCAGTTTTGAAAGCAATACCCTGTTTCTGCCATCTCTTATCTCACTGCCACCACTACAGAACTGTCCCTGGAGGTGCACGAGCGAGGAGCCGGGGACATCACCTTGGGCCAGAATAACACAAGGATGCTGCTGAACTGGGACACAGCACAGGAGGAACCTAGTGACTCCAGTAATGCTGAGGTGCAGGAGAGGAAGGCCACTGAGACCTGGCAATGGGACAAGACAGCCAGGGATGTGATGCACAGAGAATTCAAGATTAAAGTGAAGTGTCCGGTGGATGGGACCAAAAGGGGAGGAGGAGGTGATGAGGAAGTGCTTTTGAGGAAAGGGGTACTGGTGGGGACTCCAGGAAGTTAACCTTGGCCTTGTCCCCCAGGCCCTTCCGTGGTGGGCCTGGTCTCCACTCCAGGGATGGGCAAGCTGCTGGCTGGGGTGGCTCTACACAAGACACACAAGGGCTTGCTGTGGGGAGTCTCCCCCATCCTGCGCTCAGACATCATCTCTGCTTTTCTGAGCAACAAGGACACACAGAACCTCAGCTCTCCTGTCACCTTCACATTCTCCCACCATGTGAGTTGTGCTGGGGTAGGGAAGGGGTGTAAAAGGAGATGTGGAGGGAGTGTGGCCACAGTCTTGCTATTCAGTTCAGACTTGGGGCTCAGAGGTGCCCCCCATGGATGCAGCATCTCCCCCAAGAAAGCCAACCTTTCCCAAGCCAGCTTTGGGCCGGCGCCTCTGAGCACCAGGACTACCAGCTCACATCTGTACCATGTTCCTACAGCCAGTGACCCCTGGGCCAGGGCAGGGGGTGGTGTGTGCCTTCTGGGAACATGAGAAGGATGGATGTGGTCACTGGGCCACCACAGGCTGCAGGATGTTGGGCACCAGAGATGAGAGCACCACCTGTCACTGCACTCACCTCAGCAGCTTTGCAGTCCTCATGGCTCACTACGAACTGCAGGTGAGAAAATTGAGACGGCCCATGGCGATAGGGATACTTGGAGCTACAGGGTCCGGAAAGGAAGAGCTGTGATGGGTATTAAATAGACAAAGGATACCCAAATAAGAACAAGCAAAAGTTATTTATTCACAGCTTGCTATAGCAAAGGAGTCAGCCACCTTCGCTTGCATTTGGCAGAGACTCAAAGGCAGGCAGAAGAGTGGGAAGCTTTATAGTGGAAAGAAGGGAAGGCTTCAGGTGTGCCCTGATTGGAGGCTGTTAACATGTGGAAGCTGGAAGTGGGCTAACGAGAAGAGGGGCATCCTATGTGTTTGGTTAGGGGAACATATTTGGTGTTCTCCAGCTGGACCTAAGTTGGAAATGGTGACAAAAATTAAGGAAGCTGTCAGTTCTTAATCAAGTCCTGGCCATTGTTACAGGGATTGTTGTTTGGCTTCCTGGGCTGGAAGCTGCAGAGAGTACTTTGACTTCCTGGACTAGTTGTTGCAGGTTGTGGGTCAGAATTCTGATTTTATAAATGGTCTGGTCATTGTACGTTTGTTCATTCAGTCTCTCATGGGAGAGGTCAGAGGGGTCAGGGGAATGAACCAGTGAGAGCAGGTGCATCAGGTGACATAGTTACTTACTTTGGATCACCAGGAATTAAGATTCACTCAGGTGATTTCAGGTAATGAGGATTCACATGGAAATAAGGCTGAAGCAAATTCAGCAAAATGGCTAGACCTCATGGGAACCCAGAGAAATTCAAACAACCCCCCAAGGCAGAGTTTCCTCCTGTAAGTTTTCTATAGTATGCATCGCTCAAGTTTTTCATTTAATTTATAAAAAAGATGTTTTACTATGTATTATTGTAATTTATTATTATTATGGATCAAAATTCAAAAATACAGAGGGGTTAAATTGAAAAAGTCTCTTTCCCATCTGTATTCTCCATTGAAATGTATCATTCTGAGAAAAGAAAATCTCAGTTTCTTCGGAGTCCATAAAATATCTAGAGATATTTTATGCATAAACCACGAAATAACGTATAACCTTGTATTCGCTTTTAAATCATATGGTAAGTGTATGTTCAGCAACTTTATAAGAAACTGCCAAACTCCTTTCCCAAATGGTTGTTACCTTTCACATTCTCACCAGCAGTGTATGACAATTCCATTTTTCTATTTTTGCCAATACTTGGTATATTCCACGCTTTTAAGGTGTACCATTCTAATCAGCATACTTTGAAAAGCTGTTGTACCCCAGCAGGAGAGTATGACTGTAAAATTCTCTCTGCTGGGTCCCAGCAGGAAGATCCTGTGCTGGCTGTGACCACCTACATGGGGCTGGGCCTCTCTCTGCTGTGCCTCCTCCTGGCGGCCCTCACTTTCCTCTTGTGCAAAGCTATCCAGAATACCAGCACTTCACTCCACCTGCAGCTCCAGCTCAGTCTCTTCCTGACCCCACTCCTTTTCCTCATTGGGATTGACCAAACTGAGCTCCAGATACTGACAGTGTCCCTAAGGACTCCCTGCCCTGCCCCAGGAGAGGCTGGGCTCATGGAGCCATGCTCTGCTTGATCCCTTAGTCAAAAGGTCTTGAGTCCCAGGAAGGTTAGAGGGGTAAATAGTCCTGACTCAACTAGAAAACCATTCTTTCTTGACAACCCCTCCACATACATTAGGATTATGCCCATTGGCAGGCACAGGAGAGGCCCTGGGGGCACACACACACCCCGATGGCTGCTCTGGGTGACTCTCCCTGCTCC